AACCTGTTAATTAAAATACACATCCGACGGCTGACGTCCGTACCTAGTATTTTTCTATATAAAAGCGATTAATATGCATGGCTCAATGCGTTCACAAAGGCGTGCGTAGTTCGTAGTCTTTTTATAAAGCTTTCATTCGGTACACTGTTGGCGCTGTGTCTACGAGCATTGATAAAGAAAAACACATGACATAAAATGTATGCCCCAAGGTACACCCGATGGAAAAATAGACAATTTACAATTTACCTTCACTGTGCTAAGTAGCTACTTTGTGTAAATATTGAAACAGGCTAGAATGGACAGACCTCTAATCAGGTAAATATAGTAGCTGTGTTTTAAGTCCTCACCGCCACAACGGGCTTTAGTTTCCGAATCTCCTTTGGTTTATGTAGGAAATGTTTCTTCTTACTTAGTGAAGTAAGTACCTGGGTATTTTTCGTTATCTTCAAAGGTTTATACGAGTATTTTTGTCGAAAAAAAACCTTTTTCAGTAACAAACAGTGTGAAGAGTGAAGATTAAAGATGGTATCGCGGTAAGTATCCCGGCGGCGCACGCACGCGACCGACGACTAACGTTGCCTACACTTTTTGTGTGGACGGATACAAAGGATGAGATACTGCCTAGCTACCTGTCTACTCTGCCCTATAAATCTTATTAGGTCTTTCAGCCGGTTAGAATTAGACGGATATCTATTATCTCCCTTTGTTGTAAGCGTGTACTTAGTTCTACACACACACTTTCTATTCATGTCAAGTACAATGTACATAGACAAAGTAGGTACTTGTTTAAATAATGCGGAACAATTACTTGGGATTTATTACTTCTTGAGCTGTTAATATACAGGTAGATATCAAATATTATTATAATTTTATTAAAGGTTGACAGTAAGACGAACGATAGTCATTAGTAAAACAACTTGAACGCCGTCATGTGTCACTGTTACGCCTAAATTGTAGGAACGAAGGGTTTGGCACAGCTGTAGCTAGGCCGCTATTACGGTACTACCACAAATCCCCGATGATAGTAGGATTAAGACCCATCTGGATCACCGAGGCGAACTTAAGATACGTTATTTACTCCCCAACCTGGAAATTGTTTTAGAGACATAGTAGCATCGTAAGACCTTTGTTAGTCATTACGAAATAAGGAATTTACAATAAAAAATTCTTCTATTTTGGCATAACTTTCGCAAAAATACTTACTTTTTAAGTTAGTAAGTGGTATTCACTTAAATTTGTACTAGATACATTTAAAACATTAACGAAATACGTCCTGTACTTTGTCTCAAAAAAAATTACAAGTAACTGTCACCTAAGATGCAGGTCGTCACCCTCTAAATGCTTTGTAGCTCGTTGATCTTCGTTGAAACAAACGTGCGTAGCGGAAACACGCAATCTTGTCCGTACCTACCTACTACGACAAAGATGCTACGTGTTGACAAGCCTACGGGCTACGAGCTACGCGCTACGGGCTACGCGGTTAGTAGCGTTTCTTAACATAATATAATTATGTAATAAGAGTGTAAATAATGCACTAACTTACTTTCTTACTTACGTTCTTTACTTAGAGGTATAGAAACAACTAATAAAATGTGTTCGTTTTCAATCATTTAATAACACCTTCCTTTTTTAAATATTAATACGTCCTAAGTCCTGACAACAAGACTATGAAAACGTCTCGCCGTTAAAAGCTCGCAGCATTCTTTCCGGAAGGTTGCGCTATTTTCATAAAATGCATGTACTAAGTACCGTACGTACCCACTTGGGCACGAGAGCTCATCTCAACTCAGTCATCGCAGACAGCGAGCAAGACACACAGAATTTGTCCCGCCATTACAAAATATTAAAGGAGCTCGGGAAGGTTTTAGAAAACAAAGGACTAAGCCTCGGGAGAAACAACAAAGTGCTGTGATACTTCTGCGGATTGTAGCCTTCGCGGATGACATTTTAGTTTAGAGAGAAATCTCTTTGCGGGTAAACGTTTAACAATATCCGTCTTGTAAGTAGGTACACTTTTACAATGCAGCGCATAAATACTATCTGATAGCTCTCCGAGATACAGGTACGTAATCCTAAGAGGTAGGATTTATTTTATTTCTTGTTATATTTTATATGCGTTCTTGCATGTTGTTTCGCGTACCTAATTTATATTTTCTTTTGTTACATTTTGTAATGTCACTAAACTTATTAAATTAAGCGATAATTTCTTATGGGTACCATGTTGCTGCGTATTGTTTCATCAGACACCATTATGTCTTCATATTCCGCAGTATACGATTATGTAAATTAATGAATATGTTTATAATAATCTATTAACACGTTCAATGCCGCCGACACGCCAAGCGTGTTCTTACGAATTTCTATAACTACGCCTCGAACACGCCAGGCGTGTCCTAAATGTTTCAGTGATATTTCGAAAATTAGCCAAAATTGCCATTTGGAATTCTCAGTACATAATTCGCTAGCAATAACCTAATGATTTTTGAGGTGGCCCCCAGAAAAATCTCTTAAAAAATATATATTTTTTTAAAGTGATTATGTAATGCCGAGAACCCGCCAGGCGTGTCCATTTTAAGGAGTTGTCAACCTTTGAACAAAAATCAATAAAATATGAAGATAATTATCTGCAGTAAAACAAATATTATATACTAGTATATAAATTACCATAATAATGTCTTAGGTTTGCGCGAGCACTAGACATAAAAATCGTTGCGAAATTTTTTCAGGGATCGTGGTCTGCTTGCGACCGCGAACACTGAAACGAAAGGAATATACGCGAGTTAAGCCGTTTAAAAATCGTTTTATTAAATAAATTACCATTTAGGAGAGTAATGTTTTGTTTGCCAAAACATCATTTGTATTAATACTGTTTTCCATAATCGTCCCCGCTCATAATATTTATTTGCTATTTTCATTTATTCTGTTACTCGCAGCCATGCAGCCGGCTGCATGTATTTCGGTTTCGGCCTCCCTTACCCCCATTTTTTTGTAGTTTTTGGCAATTCATATTTAATGAAATAAAAGTATAGGGGAGAAAATTATGGCAAACATAAGTATTTTATGAAACATTTTGTTATTGTTGTTAAATAAGTATGCTATCTTCAACTAAAATAGGTATCGTTCCGTAAACTTGTAATAATTGACTTATCTAAGTTAATATTATGAAATATTTCAAAACAACCACAAAATGTTTATGATCTCTTACAAAATTACGAAAATTACTTACCTAAACTTCTATTTTCAGCCATAATTCCAGGTAAATTCTCACTACCGTATTTCAAATCACCTGTATTCTTGCTCAGCGATTGACAAACTAACTAATACTCATCGCTAAACCGAAAAAAGACAGATTTAGAATTTAACTCCATCGAGGTGCCACTGGACACGCCTAGCGTGTCCATGTTTAACAAGATGCAGTGCCGCCGACACGCCTGGCGTGTCCACGTGGCTTTATAGGGTGGCATCGCTATGAACTTCAAAAAAATTGTGGTGGCAGTGAACGTGTTAATCTTACGTACCTACATTATTTTATTCGAATATAAAATGGTAAATATTAAATAGTATTAATTAACATAGATCTTACGAAGGCTCTCTAATCGCACCGTACGCGTGGGTAGAAAATTAAACCTTCATTGTAAATTACTGGGTAATCTCTTAGAATATCATCGGTAAATAAGAACACAGTAAGTACCCACCCACGCGCCACGTAGAGACAACATTTGTTACTAGGTACCTCACAGGTTGTACAGACATCTAACCATTCACCTGTTTTCTCTATTGAACTTTCAACTATCGGAACATCAATGTTGTAGCGACTCGAACTTCACATTCAGATACCCATCTCGTTAACTTTTGTGCTGTATGATACATTGAGAATATTTGCTCTTTTTTTAACGATACCCTATATCGCACTTATGCTCGAATCTCAATTGGGATGATGACAGGGTATGAAAATTAAAAATATAATTAATTAGTCCGTAAGTTAAGTAATGAAAAAATATTATACATGCACTTTTTTTATTTTGTCGTAAATAAAACAATACTTAGATAAAACGAATCAAAGTTTAGGAGTGGTGGCTAAAACGTCATTTCTACGTATAAAATGTACATAGAAGTGACGTCACGCGACATTTTAAATCAATAATTATATCGTCGAAAGTATTCGTTTCTGTAAGAAAATAAAAAATAAGTGTCAATGATTTAAAATAATCTACCAGACGAACATTAAAATAAAAATTAGGCATCCACCCTATTAGCAAAAATATCATTTTAATAAGAGTGTTATAGCTCTGACAGGAGCTTCTCTATTCCTTCCTTCCTTTTCTCTTACAAGGATTTCGTAGACTTTTTATCATATTCATAAATCTACAAACAACACCTGCCTTAAAATATCTTCAACTTTAATTTCAAATCCTTGAGTATAGCCCGCATAGTCTCAAGATTATCGCAGCCCGCATGATGAAAAAAAGGATGCCTCACAATACGCAGGGTTTATTCAAACGAGCGCGTCTTTGAAGTGGCAGTGTGACGTGTAAAACGCACTAGGAACTGATACCATCTTTAATCTTCGCACCTTTTGGTGTGGTCCAGCTAGCCAAGCACTTTATAAATAGGGAGCAGCGACAGCTTTGTGCGGTGAAATGAGACTAGCGCACGATAAGAATCTTGAAAGTGCTCCAAGACAGCGTGCCACCTCAAGGGCACTGTGATCTATTGCGCTTTTCATTACGACACGCCACTATTTTCGAGAATATTAGGCACTTTATTTCGGCGTTGTTTTAGCCGTAGGCCCCTAATTCGTTCAGTTGATAGCGTCAGTACTTGTAATATATTTTCTCAGTTCTATTTTTAAATCAGTTAGTATGTCATCTTGCATTCTCATGGATGAATGTTGCTTTTTCACAGAGTGATAGTAGCCATATACAGGCTGTTTTTATTATTACGATTTTTCAAAATTTCGGAAGGTTCAAAATGTCGGGAGACTAATTAAAACGAAATAGTTCAATTAAAAGTATATTTATTGTAAATAACTAAATCAAACTAACATTTAGCAATAAATGACTCAGGTAGTACTTGCCAAAAGATTACCTATTATCAAATGTGAAGTTCTTCAGCGGCGTCCTGAGCCTATAATATATCGAAAATACGTGAACATCAAAATATGTTAAATTTAACAATAAAACCAATGCACCTACACATGCGAATAGTGTTAGAAAGCTAAACCGCATTAAAAGTTAAGATTGAATGTCACATATAATACTAGGTTTGAATAAAGCTTAATTTTACACGTGGCTAGTAGGTACCTGTCACAATAGTGAGACAATTACGATTTCCTTTACTACTACATACATATTAGGTAACGACATACATTCGAAGATTGACTACAGACAAGGTAATTATATTAGTATGCGTCGGTTTATACAAAGCGTTGGATGTTGGTGTTATCCCTTACAAGGTGCCGTTCTCAACGGCGGTAACTATCAGCGAACTAAACCTATGCGCGGGGTCGCGGGTCGCGGGTCGGGAGGTTGCAAACCAAAACGACCTCTATTACATACATTTTATGTACTAAGGTGCAATTTACTTTAAACTGGTGCCTAGTTACTAGACATACATTTACTCTCTAACTAATAATATCTCATGTACAGTACCGTAAGCGCAACTATTGTATTGGTAACAATCGCACTTGCAAGCGAAGGATAATTAAGCGTCTCAGCAAATAATCGTATTAGTAGGTACATAAAATTTGAAACCAAACATTACATTCAATACTTTTAATCAAAATTTATTACTGAATAAATAATTCGGTTTACAATTTCAATAACCGCTTTTGGCTGCACCATTTCGAGTTGGTTAATCCCATTAATTTATGTAGGTCACATTAATTATGTGGGTATTTATTTAATATCAAAATTATAGAGGTAAAGTTTATAAATATATCACAATAGTGGGCGGAGGGCGGGGTGCGCGTCAACGCTACACGTTTCTATTCCCGCTCTCTAGCTACGCCCAATGTCATCGAGATTTTACACATCATCGCTCGCCAAGTGCGATTACTGTCCTACGTTATAAGTTTATATGTACGTATCCCCAAGACTAGCAAAAGGAACGTCTTAACTTCAAATCCGTTAATGATAAAATAATCGAATAAAAAAATAATAAATTTATGTACACGAAAATAATACAACCAGCGTATGTACGTAACGCCATTTTGTAATTAATGTACCATTTGTTTCAGTAAGTAATTATAATCTAGTACGCAACATCATAAGTGGAGACTACGTTATATTGCTTTTACAATAAAAATAAATTATGTAGGTTCTACAGATCACGTATGCTATATTAAATAAATAAATAATAATTTATCTAACTAATCTACCTAAACATGAAGAGAATTACAACAAAATACTGAGAGTAAGGAGAAAATTAACATTTCAATATTTTACAAAAATAAATTTCGTTCGACAAAAATAAATGATCATGTCAAAGATAAATTACGTTTCGAGATAGATTACGTAGATATTTAGACTCTGTTACAAGTGTTTAAGTTTCAATATGGCATAAATGTTGTCTACTATAACAGTATATTGGTTTGTAACGTTCTAAAATGTGTACACTGACAGTTTTGATTCGTAAATGGCTGACTATATTTGTATTGTATCTAAGAGTGTGTTGGGAGCGAAAGCTAGCCATTTCGTAACCGTCGCGTGTTCGTGTGATCGCTTATAGCACGCAGAACTCTTCGAGAAGGTTCCTGAGCTCCTTGTTGTGAGCGGCCTTGGATCCGGTGGCGGGGGCCGCGGCCGTCGCGCGTCCGTGGTAGCTACAATAAAAAAAATCCACTTCACAGTCTCTTAAAATAGAAACAAATTACAAATATTAATGTAGAGGTCCACATGTACATTTTTCTATTAGTTTGGTTTTAAGTATTTAAAAAGCTGCATAAGCAGAGTATTGTTATTGGCGAATTATTGTAAAGAGTTAATAAGGTTCCTTATTTGCATATATTACCACTGCTCTCTTTTAAACTTGGTAACATACACACATTTTAAATAACTAACATCAATTATTTTAAAATTTATAAATAGAAAACAAGTATAGAAAATAAGAAAACGATACAGCATAACATAAACAAAGACTTATTGAATTGCGGCTTGAGTTTCGTAATGAGAAAATAATATATTTTAATCTCTTTTAATATTATCGTATTATTTCAATGAAACCTAATAATCACCATGAACTGAAACAGCATGTTTTATAAACACTGGTAATTATTGAGCTTCACTTAACATAAATTCTGCCGTAAACAAAAATAGCTAAAACACCAATTAAGCAATTTGTTTAAAAAATGTGACACTATGATGTAATGATCGACTCTTCAAGCAAAACCAAGGTAACTTGCGTCTTGTTGGCTTTGTTAACAGAGTGTTCGACATAAGCAATTTTTTATATGAAATTGTGTGTCATAAAATAAAGCAACTTGAGAACGAAACACCCTATTACTCAAACATGCATGTGATTTGATGACATGAGTAAGTGTAAATGAGCACAGAGGATTCGGGGGGAAGGGACGCCATATGCCATGATCTCACCTAATGGTACGCGGCACTGGCTCAGCCTCGTCTGAGACCGGCTTCTCTTCCCGGCCGAAAAGCTTAGTAAACCAGTTACCACTTTGTGGCTTTACTCTGCAACCAATAGCCAGTTATATTATGGCGTACCGTGTTTAGGAAATTTTACATTAAAAGTAGGATTACGCGATATGAACAGCTTTAGGATCGTAAAAATGTTATTGAATGATACAATACATGCAAATTTGAAAACCCATGCAAGCCCAAATGAATGTCAGACTCAAGCCGCAATTTAATTTCGTTTCCTTTGTTTCGTTTTCCTTTATATTCCTAGCGATTACATCAAGCAACAAGCACTAACGATAAGTTCTGATTATTATATTTTAAATAACATAACTACTATTGCATTTGCAAAAAGTTTACAAATCTTTCCCATTCCAATTTGAAAGGCTGCTTAACAACATGCTAATATAAAAATATTGACGTTTACGTAGTAAAATATTAAACTTAACAAGCAACTTACAGCTATTCGTAATAAACTATTTGTCGGTAGGTTTATGTACTAAACATTTCGACAAATTGTAATTTAGTTAAAATTCTGTCGCTAATAGCTAACTCTACTTAATCGCGACGAAAATAAAACCGATCGCATTCCAAAACAGACTTTTGGCATTGATTTTATGTTATTTCTGACAAAGAGCTCGTACACAAAATTGCGATGCGATGCGATGCGAATTCGCTACGCAGAAAATTACGACACGAATTGCTGCGATGCGATTTCGTGTGACAAGAGTGAACATTCCTTCGACGACCGTCAACCGTATTTTAAATTGACAACCAGGTCGTGACATGCATCATAAAAAGAAGTGTGCACTTCTGTTATTGCTTAGGAGATACAGGAAAAAGAAACAAATAAGATTTTGGGAAGACAAGATTTTGATGCACGATGCAAATCAATTTGCAAGTTCTTGCGATGCATAGAGAGCTCGCACATTTTTATGCGACGTCTCATCGCAGTTTTGTGTACAAGCCCTAAAACCAAGTGCGACCCTACGATTTAGGTTTGAGATCGGTTATTAATTTCGTCGTCGTTAGAAAGGTACTTCTCATAGATTACTTTAAAACCTGTAAGTGAACATACCTGACGGTCTTCTGGTTCTGTAAGAGAGTGCGGAACCTTGGTTCCACGTAGCCCCAGTAGCCAGAGTTCTTGTGCTCCTCCTGGCTCCATACAATGTTCGCGTTCGGGTACTTCTCAATCTCAGCCTTGATCAGATCGTAGGGGAATGGCGAGATCTGTTCCACTCTGAATAAACATTACAATATTTTATACCCTTGTCACAGTCAGTTTTCTACTAAAACGATGGCTTTAGAGATTTGTTTACTAATTTAAAATCAAAAATGTTTGTTCAAGAGAGCTCTATTCAAGCAACTATAACCAGTTGTGGCAGCCTGGCTATACTTACAGATTTTAATAACTTTTTGATAAAACACTAAAAAACATTTTTATTTAAAGTTACCTGACAATAGCGATGTCCTTCTCGAGTCCCTTCTCGCGCCTGTGTTTGAGCAGGTCGTAGTAGACGCGGCCGGTGCAGAACGATAGCTTGCGGACCGATTTCGGGTCCTGGGATGCTGCGCCGTCATCGGGGATCACTCTGGGTAAAGGTAAATAAAAAAAATATTACTGTCCCTTAACATTTTCAAGCGATGCCACTGTTAACTTATAATAACTAAAGTTCCTTATCCCATTTTTTTTGTGAGGATGGATAATCATCCACTGGCGTCAACAAACAGCTCTTCCAACTCCTGTTCCATGGCAGGGCCGCGGTTTACGGCGACTTTACCCGAAACCCCCGGCAGGAAGACTAAAGATTGTTTATCCCCAGTAATCAATGTTTACAGAATCATTTGAATTTCTGATATTTTTGTAATTTATATCCGTACAGGTAAGTTTAGTCTGAAATGGCGTAAATGAAGTCGCAGTGTCACTTACCTTCTGAAGCTTGAGCCGTCCTTCATTTCATCGAATGAGGACTTGGCCTCGGGGTGACGCAGCAGAGACTTGGGCGTCATGAGGATGAGAGGCTTGCGGAAGGGAAGGGCAATCTGTCGTCGCAGGATGTGGAAGTATGACGCCGGGGTGGAGCAGTTCGCCACTATCCAGTTACAGTCGTGCAGTTGACGCACTGTAAACAAACATAGATAGTTTCGTAGGTATAACTTAGTTAATAGTCGATATCATACTTAATTTGGTGATTGGTAAACACGAAATGCTTCCTCAATAGCTAAAATGAATAAGGAAGGCTTCTCAAAATGTTTTTTCTCTAGTAAGCAGAAGATATGTCCAATATAATAGCATTATGACATACCTTCATAGTCGGGGCTCTCAGGAGGCATGTAGTCGGGGTCGTCGGCGCACATCTGGAGGAACCTCTCGGGCCTGGCTGACGAGTGCTCGGGGCCCTGCAAACAAGAGTCATTTTAAATTAGCCAGTCACATAATTATGATTGATACTTATACCTAGATTTCTTCGGATAATAAATAGTTTTTATGGTTTGTTTTGATTGGTGTCTAAAACTGCGACTAGGTCCTGAAGGAAAGGTTGCAGCCTCATAGAATTTTCTATGACGTAACTGATCCGCAAGTCACCTACAAAGTGTGGGGATCATGGCGTACCTACAATGTGTGGGATATTTGCGGCCGTTCTTACCCTGGTGATGACGTTAGGTAATCATATTAACAATTAACCGAAAGATTTGCTTACCATGCCCTCCATGCCGTGAGGTAGCAGAAGTACGAGTCCGGACTGTCGCACCCACTTAGCCTGTCCGCTACAGATGAACTGGTCAATGATACATTGCGCGCAGTTGTTGAAGTCTCCGAACTGAGCCTCCCACAGTACCAGAGCGTTCGGGTTTGTCATCGAGTAACCAACCTCGAAACCGAGCACGGCTGTGTACAAAAACAAAAGTAATGCTTTATAATTTCGACTTCCTTTACACTTTCATATTTGTCCAAGCAAATTAATCTGATACTTCAAAATCATGCACGGCAAGACGTATAAATGCATGCAATTATTTATTCACAATTGGAGCGATGGATTTTGCTTCGTAAAGCCCCAGGTTTAGCTCGAAACCAGTAGAGCATTGAGTATGCTTTTTTGATCGTATTTGTGACTTCTTGAATAAGAGTTAACATCTTATTCATTTACTCACCGTATTCAGAAAGTGAGCTGTTGCAGACGGTGTATGGAGCCTGGTCGGGGTAGAGGTGGCAGAGCGAGCAGTATGTCGCCTTGTCCACCTTCTGGTGGTGGAGTACGTGATGTCTGGGGATAATGGTCATTATGGTCACAACAGAACGTAAATATAAAAGAACATTATATGGAATACATATACCTCTTAAGTCTTAATGAAAACAGAAAGTAGTCAAATAGTACCTGTGTGAGAAAGTTCCTCGCTCGACGTCCTCTCCGGACAGTCTGACGTGGATGCCTTCCTTGAGCAGGGATCCGAAGGCCATCGCCTCACCCAGCGCCCAGTCTACCTGTCTGTTCTCCACCATCGCCATACGTGCCTTCAGGATACGGAGCAGACCCTTGTGGATCTCGAACTCAGCCGCGTTGGGAGGGGGGGAAGAGAAACGCTTGCCAATGTGCACCAAGGTCTCTTCTACTACACCAGTTGGGGACATCTGAGGAGGTGAGAAGACTCGTTATAAGTTTTGTTTACAAAACAGCCGTTACTGCTCAACTACTGTGACAACTGTCAATTTGTATTATATTTAGTAGAATTTAGATATATTATCATCATTCATGAATTCGGTAAATAATAAATATATTTATTAAATGAATCATAAAAAAATAGTAGTTACCTTAAGTGGGTCCTTGCCCTCGAAGAATCCGGACCAGGGCGAGTCGAGCCAGTCCTTGAACTTGATGTGTGTCTCCTGCTTGGCCTGTGTGTAGGCGTCCTCACAGATCTTCTCGTATTTGTCTTTCACGTCTTTCGCTTCCGCGGCGGTGACCACGCCCTCGCTGATCAGTTGGTCGGCGTATTTCTCCAGAACTGTGGATGGAAAATATAACATAGAAACAAAACGTTACATTGAAGGTTGGTCCTGTAATACAGAAAATTTTCGACATCCTCAAAAGTAGTATCTGGCTCGGGATATCGAGATCTCAAGAAGGGTGGTTCGAGTGTATTCTTCTTCTTTCTTTGTGAAATAAAATAATAATGTTGACTGTACCTACCGGGCTTAGTGTTGTGGATCTTCTGGTACATGAGTGGCTGCGTGAACATGGGCTCGTCGATCTCGTTGTGTCCGTTGCGGCGGTAGCTGACGATGTCGATGACGACGTCCTTGTGGAACGTGGCGCGCCACTCCGCCGCCACGTTGCACACGTGCATCACGGCCTCGGGGTTGTCGCCGTTCACGTGGAAGATCGGGGCGTTCACTACTCGCGCAACGTCTGGGACACAATATCAAAATAGATTTAGTATTTTCTCTTGTACCGACTAAGATACTTTCAAAATAATCGGATTTTTTATTAAATCTCATAACTCAAAACCCCATATATCATTCCATTAGATGAAATGCTGTTTTACCAAGTGGCGTAAATATCCAGGAGATTCTAGAGTTAGGTATTATGAATTTAAGATGTACGTTAAAGCCATTGGTTGCAGGTCGCTTTCAACTGACCTATTTGGCAGTCATTGGGGGAAGTCTAGTTCAACATAACGAACTTTTGTTCCTCCATACATTTCAGTGAACAAACCTGTGCAGTAAGCAGAGGAGCGCGAGTGCCTGGGATCAGTAGTGAACCCGATCTGGTTGTTGACGACGATGTGTATGGTGCCGTGCGTGGTGTATGCGGGCAGGTCCGACAGGTGCATCGTCTCGAACACCACGCCCTGTCCGGCGAACGCGGCGTCACCGTGCAGCAGGAGAGACATCACCTAAACAACAACATTGGTGTCAAATAAGAGTACAAACAGAAAAATCTGTCTTGAATTAAATTTCCAGTATTGCGAACTTTAAATTTTTGAGATTCTAACTGATGAGTCTGAAACTGTACACTTGTATGGCATCTAAACTTTCAAAGTCAATTCATCGCAAATTCCAAATAATAACCGTGAGTCTTTAAGGGAGGAATATTATCGAATTACAGCTCCCGCCTGGGTGAGGCGGGAGGGAGTGTCAGACTGTTACTGACTAAAAACCACCCCGTTCCTTCTCCTGCACGTCGAGCCGGAGCCCTGGTAACCCGTTATTGCTGATTCATAAAATGCCAACTTTCGGAAACAGAAAGTTTCAATAATACTTTGCTTGCCCTACCCGAAATTCAATGAAATCATTTTGCTTGGCTCGGAAGAAAGATATTATGTGAAACCACAACAAATAAAGCAACCAACAAGGAATAAACAGTAGGTTATGTTTTCATACCTTCTTGCCCTCGTTGTCACCGCGGTAGAACTGTTCAGCACGGCACTTGCCCTGCACCACGGGGTCGACGGCCTCCAAGTGAGACGGGTTGGCGCATACAGCCAGGCGGATGTTCTTGTTCGTCACACGGTTCAGGCGCTCGATGTATGTTCCCAAATGGTACTTCACGTCACCGGAGCCCTACGTACAAAACATAATATTATTATAGGTCTCTTAAGAAAATTAATTATTGTTATACTTACCTAGCTACACCGTAGACGCTGATAGTATACAAATCCATTGTGTACTACTCTATGTTCTTGAGTAGAAGTAATAAATCTAAGTAAAATAATGTCAAGTATCGAAAATATACTCACGTCATCTTCGGCTTCGAGGGCGGCGAACTGGGTGAACAACTGGTGGAGAGGTTTGCGGCAGACGTTGGCGACGACGTTCAGACGACCTGAAGGAATAAAAACGAAGGAAACAGTACAGTCAACCATATAAAATGTACAGTACATAAATTGACTCGGTTATTTCTTTAGTCAAAACGAAGTGAAATTAGACAAATACTGCTGTAGATTATTATTTATTTCTCCTTTAAAATTTTTGAATCATGTTATAAACACTACAATCATAGTGCAATTTTCTTCTATTCACTAGTACCTACTCGTATTTTAAATGATAGAATAACATACCTCTGTGAGGCATGCCCATGATGATGGACTCGACTCCAAGACGAGTGGAGACGTCGATGACCTGCTTCATCGCCGGGATCAAGATTTCGCAACCTTCCAGACCGAAACGTTTCTCTGACGACCATTTTTTCGCCAAGAAGTTCTCGAATCTATACAACACATTAAAATTACATTCGTTAAGTCATGTAGTACATGTTTCTAAAGCAGTACTATATCTATAATGGAAATTAATTCCTATTTTCTTGGACATCGCATCTCACATGGACGGCTCCATAAAGTTGGGTCAAGGTAACATATTTTACTTGTACAAATGTTTAACAAATGCTTAAGTAAGCAATGAACACATTTAAACAATATTTAGACATGTTTTTATTTCAGAATCTTTAGGTCTTTATTACGAAGTTTTTTGCGTAAACTATCATTTTACTTTAAATATTTAGTTTACTAGAACAAGGTGGTAAAAACTAATTATTTTTTATTACAATCTCAACAGCTCATGTATAATGCACCTTTATGCACTATATTTCTAGCTCATATCTTATCAGTTACTACTATTTACAGTGCACTGTCATCAGGTAATGCGCACAAGCATCTAGTTACACACGCACAATGGCAATTCTAACTTAATTACATAATGTGATGGTAACAATAGTTCGTGGAGAGGTTGCACTTGTATCGAGTGGTAATATTCACGCCTAACTACAAGTGTTTAATGCAAAATATTAGTAGTGGATTATTTTACGTCTACGTTACTAGGCATAACATATCCATTCCATGAAATTGTTTGAAAAGTATATCCTTTTATAATTTATATATCCTTTTATAATAAAACCTAGTTCATGGAATCTGAAATCAAATAAAAAGGCATTTGATTTGGAAAACCAAATAATTATAGTAGGTGGCACGTATGTTTAGAACCACGATATCATTTAGCACACAACTCACAATGACTTGTCATTTCGTGATATGATACAATAAGATATCATAAACTCTCTATAATGCGTAGTATAGAAATTCAAGGAAATAAAGTTACAAGAAAATACATTACTACTTACTACAGACTCTTTGCGCAAGTTGCGCAGTGGTTGCGCTAATTAAATACATGCGCTTCTTTAAATTGTCACTCACCCAGCGGATCTGGTGAGACGAGCGAGGATCAGCCTCTTCTGGTCGTTGCTCATCTTGCCAACGTTGGGAGGTTCGATGCGCTGCCTGATCCAGTTGCATTGCTCCAACGAGTTGATGAACATGAACTCAATACCAATGTTGTTGCAGTATGCCTGCTCCAGACGGTTCAAGATTTCCCTGTAAAATTATATTTTATGCTTAACGATGTATTTAAATTCTAGGTAGATATGTCTACATGTATGTCTTAAAATTATGACCTGGAACGACCAAAGTAGACTTAGTAAGTAAAGTCTTATGAAAAACTACTAACTTTACTACCACCCTCAAGCTTGCCCGACAAATATGGGGATTATATCAACTCCTATAATCATGCTTGACGTAACAAAGTACTTTTACTTTTAATTATTAGGCATTTTACTACTAGATGTGTCACGCCTCTAATTATTAGAAGTTTGGAGGTGTGGCCGAGATAAGCGAACCTCTTTTATTTGTAATTTTTATTACAATATATTTGTTGTGAATTACTAAGCAATTGTTTGAAGATAAGATTAGAGAGGTTCTAAGAACAGTTTATAACTAAAAAAATGTAATAAGTAAATTCATTAGAAGCTGAAAAGGTATAATGAGGTATGCAGTAAAGGTTTTTCATCAAAACTATCACACGCCTGTAATTAATAGCATCCGTGAACAAACCGCATATAATATTCCCAGCATTGTGTTCAACGTACGTTATAAAACCGCAACAATGTGACGAATTTATTACAGGGCAATTTAAACACCACATTATAGCATTTGATATACCATATTGTGAGTAAATTAGCGGAAACAATGATCTTTGTATTGCTCCCTTTAGTTGGTTAATTTCCAATCGGCAATCAGCTGTAGTGAGTATCGATAACGATAAACGTGACGGGCGCCATCGAGGCAAGGTGAAGGTGACAATAACACTGATATCGTCCCGTTATCGGTACCAAGTAGCCAAGTGCACCTGCGGCAGCATTATGGGAGCTACCCAAATATGTGTGTCAAAGTTGAGTATAAATACTAACTGCGTATTTAAATTATTAGGTACATTAAGCTCCGCTTTTCTGTCGAAATGTAATAGGAAAACTCAAAGAAATTGTCACGTTTTACTCAATAGAATGTGCAGTATCGCAACATTGGAGATAACGAGTATTAATGCAACCTGATAGGCTGAGCATTTCAAAATAGATAAGTAACATAATGCGCTTTGCATCATCCGGGTCTGCGATATACGAGCTCCGCTATCACTCCTAGCAACACTTCGAAATCCCTAGTGATTACTAGTATATAAACCGACTTTTTTTAAATTCGGAATAACTTACCTCAACGGTAACGCTTTCTCTTTCTCACCAATAAAAGTAGTGGATGGTAATTTGAAAACTCTGTCCATATCAGCTTCATCTAAAACATACAACAGGCAATCAGAGTACGAACGTTTAATAGAAAAATAAATACTTAAATACCCATGGAGATGCAACATACTTAGACGAACCTTTCCGATAAAGCAGACATCAAAGCGAATTGAAAGTTTATCATATCCCTTTACTAGTTTCACTGTATTCGAACCAACATTATCCCACTCTACAACGCCCTTACGAGTTACGACAACATTACATTTACAATTATTTATACTTGAAAGTTTATGTATAAGATGGTACAATATACAGATGAGAAGAATCTATGATGTGCAACAGTGTTGTAGATACAACCATAGCTACATATATTTCACGTTTGAATTCTCTGGCCACTGTCCAACACCGAGAATGAAGTAAACATCACATCATCAATGCCAAACAATTACGTATATTATACTTTTCTATTTGTATAAACCGCGACCAATCGGCGATATATTTTTATGATGAATATTTACATACGTACTATAGTAGATGTATAATAAATAGATACAATATAATCATGCAGTAGTTACATAAGTACATGCTAATATATTCATACAATCTATTAAATACAGGCATGCAAATAATATTATAGTAATAGATAAACCATATGGGTATCGTGCATAACGTGAATACTTAGATGGGCATAGAGATGAGCAACTGCGCGTGCGAGCCGAGGACCTGTGCGTTACATCCACATTTCTTTATGAACGTGTAGTTATGGCTACCAGCTTCCGAATCAATTTACGAACAGATTTCAAATTAAAAATAAATGCAAATAAAAATAAAGTAAAATCCATTGACAATGACATTGCGTTAACATTGCTGATAAATTCTGTTCATAAAAAGTCCAAATAATCCGACTGCAACAACAAAATAATAAAATCAGTTAATTGTTTAAAGCCAAATCCCTCATTGATTAATTTGTTACCTAGGCACAAAATCTGATACAGGGGAAGCCCGCGTAACTTGACGTAGCATCATATCAGTAGTGTGACATGATGTGGGTGTGGTTTTACAATTTGTTGCAAATGGAAAATTGTAGAGGAACATTGCTTCGCCGCCATAACTACCTACGTATGAGACAACGAGCGACCATGGTGCTTTCTGTATTTCAGGTTCTCGTAATTCTTACCAAACCGGTAGCTGTTGTGAATCACCGCCCGTTTGTTTTTACCGATCAAAGCGCTGTTCGCTATTTCCAACGGGTCGAGGTTGGCTATGTGATGTCCTCGGATCTGTTTTTTAGTGCACAACATTCTCATTTAGCGTGTATTATATAACTGCTGATACTCGGTTAGTAGTCATATAAAACAATATAAAAAGCAAATAATAATAAATACACATTTCTTTTGCTGCAATAATATAGCTGGAGGCATGTTTCATTCGTTTGTTGATGGGTTTTAGTGTTATATTCGCTTTCAGAGCAGCAGGTTATAATATGTACATAAACTACTTAGGTATCCATAATTGAGAACAAAATAAAATATCATTGTGGATAAGCCTGCGTGATAAATCAAATGAAGCAGGTATCAGTGATTATAATTATATCATATCCTACCTACAAATCAGTAATTAAGTCCTTAATGCGCTCTTTATGACTTTCATTTATCTAAAAATACTGTGTCGTAAGTAAAATTGTCCTACAACATAGGTTACACAAATGATGTCTGATAAAATAATCCCCTAATCGATAACAAAAAGAAAAACTCTTATAATTACATGTACACGTATCTATAATACATTGTCAATGTTAATACTAGTAAAGTTTTAAACATAAGTAATGTATAAAAATAAAATAAAAAGTAATTACTAAAATACAATAATTTCTGACAAGTTATTCCCATTCACCCTATGGTATGTATGGTACATGAGTATTATAATAAAAAAAAAATGCTAAAACATATCAGGTACAATTTTCATCTAACCTGTAACTGTTGTCTGATCCATTCAAGGCAGTTTGGTCGAAGGAACGAGTTCTACTTAAACGTAACCTACATTTACAGCCATGATTCTTATTCACAATATACATCACCGTTCTATGTACAAAATCTAGTAAAGGAATATGATTACAAAGCGTTTAGTCTTATGCAGTGTTTACATACCTCAACCAAAATTCGTTAATTAAATTAACCTTACACATCATTCTATATTGCAACATAACAACACAATATAGTCATAAAAACAGTCATATTTATATTAGTAACTTTTAGTAATTATTATAATATGACCGATATTTTCAAAAAGCTAGTCTCAACTTTATTTCTTATTAAAATTAAATCCAATTTTGTGTGTACAATACTTGTCTTAAGTTATGAATTTGAAATGTCCCGCCATCTCCATTTAACTACTGAATCAAGTACTACAAACCAAGCACCATTAAGCAAAACTAAGTATGTCAGATAGAGGAAGTTAAAGTGTAGAGCACAGAACATATAAAGGAGGATAGAACGGCCTTGTGGGCGGTACACGCGTGCCGCGGTTATGAGCAAATGCTCCAAATCTACCAAAATGTCAAAAACCGGCCATCAAACGCAATGTTGTTGTGACAGCGTACGAAACTCCGCAAATAATATTAAATTATGCCGTCTTGGACTATTGTAATGTGTCGGAAAAGAAGACAGGTGTGCAATGTAGCACGAGAAGGGATTTCTTTCCACCAGTGACTTCAAAAACATTAATATACTTGTGATATTTGTAATTATAACATTAATATTATGACGTTTCTAGACAAAAACGACATTATCGCAAGCAGTATACATTGCTTGCAATAGATACGTACCGTTTTGCACTACATAAACGATCGCGCAATGTATTACGTTCACAACGAGAGTCCCGAGTATCAAATCAAAACGTCATTTCCTCGAATCGATATAGAGAAGTGTCAATTTGTAAACAATGTCGATAATTACTATGATACAAAGGATTATTATCAAATTATACACATTATAACTAAAATAATTTTATTTATTACGACTAATTATGAAATAGGTTTTAAGTGAGGCATTTTATTCGTATTTCAGTTTTATATAATTTTTTATGTATTCGTTATGTTTTGTTCAGTAAGTAGACTGATTTTATGATTTAGGAAATTTTGTTTTACATTTCTACCTTGATATCATCTAAGGGACATCTAAATCATTTTTCGTAAGATGGATACTCTTTCATACATGCTTAGGCCCAAATTGTAAATAGTTGAAACTATGAGAAATTCTTAAAAGCCAGCCGAAATTTTAGTCAATAATTTAAAATAGTTGTTGAGGTTTTCTATTCGAGAACAAAGCTATGACAACAAATAAGATGACATTATATCCTGGGAGCGATTGTATTGTACCTTTTTTAAGAATAGCTATGTACACTTGATGACTTTTCTAGTTTTCAGAGCTTTTAGAGCTGACTTAATTTACGTGAGCTAAATATTGTGTTGGCCTGGAGGTTGCGGCGCTGTTTCATACAACTTATACGTACTTTCTAAGTTAATTTGCACACCACTCACATTCAGTAAAGGAAATTATGTAACCGAAACTATATAATAATTCCTATTTATATTAACTATTAAAGAAATACGAACGACGATTATCGGTTGTCATCATACGAATGTCATGATGATATCTAACAGAGACAATAACAGAGTTTTGAGCACAGATTAGATATATCATGATATGGTTACGTTATGATAATTCTCAATATTTCATTATTTTATGATTTTTCATTCCTTAGGGAGAAATTACGCTATTTTTTATATATTTTGAATTAAGTAAAAATCTATTATTTTTGACCCCATGACTTCCCAGACTCCTTTTATTTTTATAAAACTTACAGTTGAAAACAAAACAAAATCGAAATAATACCTTTTCGGGTTTTTATACTTTTTTGATTACTACCAATCAACAATTTACTTATAACTATATTCCATGTCAAATTATTTTAATGTTAATAATGTAATTGATTTTAAAAATCAGTTATGTATTTTTCTATGTATAGTTATTTACATTAACGTAAATACATGTGCACAATATGC